TTAAAAACAGGGTCCTGATATGTTGCCCAGGGTGGTCTCGAACTCCTGGCTTCAAGTGATCCTCCCACCTCTGCCTCCCAAAGTGCTGGGATTACAGGCATGAGCCACACACCCAACCCTTGAAGTTAATTAACCATCAATTAATTTCAATTAATGGAAATTAATTGAAAAATTTTAACGAAGTTTTGTGATAATTTCGCTCCCTTTAAACAGATCTTTGATTACAACATGAAAACAATAGATTAAAGCAAAAAATAAATAAATAAAACAATAGATTAACAGCAATTAACAGCACTGTATTAGTCCAGGGTGAAAATGACAGTGGATGGGATTCGATGACAGCAGAGATGAATAATACCAGAGAGATCCAAATAAATAAGGTGGATTTGGCCAGGCAGTGGCTCATGAGTATAATTCTAGCACTTTAGGAAGCCAAGGCGGGAGATAACTTCAGCCGGGGAGTTTGAGACCAGCCTGGCCAACACAGTGAGACTCCCATCTCTACAAAAAATCGATAAATTAGCTGGTATGGTGACGACCAGCTGTAGTCCCAGCTACTCAGGAGGCTGAGGTGGGAGGATCGCTTGAGCCCTGGAGCTCGAGGCTGCAGTGAGCCATGATCGCCTCACTGCCCTCCCGCCTGGGCGACAGTGAGACCCTGTCGCAATAAAACAAAAAAAACAAAACGGAGTTGTGGAGAGTGAAGCAGCTACCTCCCCAATGATGGAGGAGGCTCTGTTGCTGAATTCCTTCATTCACTTACTAAATGCTTGATGCCCAGGTTCAAGTCCCAACTCAGGTCCCAAAGCTGATGCGCCCAGGAACCGTCATCCCTAAAACGATGAAACGACATCAGAGGACGAGCCGCCCTAAAAGAAGCAGGCTCAGCTCGGGTGGAGGGCTGCTGGATGGTCCTTGCATTTCTCTCTCCCGGAACACGTTCTGCAGAGGAGACGCTTTCCTAGTTCTCCCAAAGCTCACCTGTCACTTTTGTCCTCGGCCCTTGGACCGGTTTGGACTTCTTTCCAAACTTGCTCTCCAGGGAAGTGAAAGGGCTGTTTACTGTCCCATTTTTCAGAGTTTGCTTTAGAAACGTAAAATCGTAAAGTATCAGACTGATAAGCAGTTGGGAAGGACTCCGGCCACGCCTCTGGCTCCGTAGACCCTCGGCCGAGACCCCCAAAACCCCGGCAGAGCGAAGCTGTGGACGGAAGCCGAATGCCCACCCGTCGCCTATTGTGGCCCAGGCAGGGGGGCGGAGCGGACCTCGGTGACGTCACAGAGTCACGCCCCCGGGGGAGGGCGCCAGGCCAACGCCAGAACTGCTGCCTCGATCCCGGAAGTGGAGGGTCAACACGAAGCGCCGCTGGGTCTAGGTGCCCGGAGGCAGCAGCGTTCTAGGAGCTTACCCGCTGGCCCCCGATCGCCATGTCGCTTTTCGACACCAACCCCTTCGCGGACCCAGTGGATGTAAACCCCTTCCAGGTAGAGCCCTCCCGCTCCACCCAGCTCCCAGATTTCTCCAGGGCCAAGGGCCGCCGCCCGAGCCTCCTTTGCCAGAGCCGGGAGACGTGGCTAGGACGGACGGGTCATATGCCCAATGGGAGAGCGGACTTTGAGGTGTGACCTATCGTAACGCGTGGAGGGCGGGACTAGCAGCAGGTGGAACTGCAGAGGAGGCGGGGCGCTGAAACCTTGGAGGGAGTGGGGTCTTCTAGTACCCAGAGACGTAGTCGGTCCGACTGGGCTGTGCTGGGGAAGGTGACTGGAGCAGGCACGGTCGGACCCTTAGGGAGGTCCCCTGGCTTCACGGAGAATCGAAATGTGGCTATCACATTCCCTCGTTCTTGGGTAGACACCTGTCTTGTCACCTTAGGAGAGGGGGGGGCAACCACATAATGAGGAGTTGGCGAAGCCTCTGGTGGGGTGGGAAAATGTGGGAAAAGCCCAGGACACCTGCCACCACTCCACCACCAGCCAAATACAGGAGAGCCCTTGAGATTTGTCAGGGAAAGAAGACTGGGAGAGGGCGCGAAGGTAGCCTAAGTTGAAAAATGGCCTTGATAAAAATTCCACACTTTGGCCATGGGTCTAGTTTGGAGTGGGTTTTGACCCGAAAGCCCGAGTTAGGGAGGGAGGAGAGATGAGGGTGGCTCTAAAAGAGTCTGGACCCACAGGGAACGTTTGTCTGATGGACCCGTGTGTGGTGACAGCATAGTTGAGATGCACTGACCTGTGAGTTGGCCTGACCTTTTGAACAGCAACTGAGGAAGAAACAGCCTTCCTGCATTTTTTTTTTTTTTTTGACACAGGGTCTTGCTCTGTTGCCCAGGCAGGAGTGCAGTAGCACAATCTTGGCTCACTGCAGCCTCAACCTCCTGGGTTCAAGTGATTCTTGTGCTTCAGCCTTCCAAGAAACTGGAATTACAGGTGTGCACCACCATACCTGGCTAATTTTTGTATTTTTAGTAGAGACGGGGTTTCACCTTGTTAGCCAGACTGGCCTCAAACTCCTGGCTTCAAGTGATCCACCCATCTTAGCCTCCCAAAGAGCTGGGATTACAGGCACGAGCCACCAGGCCTAGGCTTGCTCTTTCTTCTTTCCTTTTCTTTTCTCTTCTCTTTTTTTCTTTCTTTCTCTTTCTTTCTTCTTTCTTTCTTTCTTTCCCTCCCTCCCTCCCTCCCTCCCCTCCCTCCCTCCCTCCCTCTCTCTCTCTCTCTCTTTTCTTTTCTTTTCTTTCTTTCTCTTTCTTTCTTTTTCTTTCTTTTCTTCTTTCTTTTCTTTTCTGACAGTTTTACTCTTGTTGCCCAGGCTGGAGTGCAATCACGATCTCAAATCACTGCAACCTCCACCTACTGGGTACAAGCGATTCTCCTGCCTCAGTCTCCCAAGCAGGTGGGATTACAGGCATGCACCACCATGCCCAGCTAATTTTGTATTTTTGGTAGAGACAGGGTTTCTCCATGTTAGTCAGGCTGGTCTTGAACTCCTGACCTGAGGTGATCTACCCACCTCAGCCTCCCTAGGTGCTGGGATTACAGGTGTGAGCCACCACTTCTGGCCTCTTTCTTTCTTAAGACAGGGTCTCACTCTGTCGCCCAGGCTGTAGCACAGTAGAGGTCATGGCAGCCTTGACCTTCAGGGTTCAAATAATCCTCCCACCTCAGCCTCCTGAGTAGCTGGGACTACAGGCACGTGCCACTGGGCCTAACTCCTTTGAAAAAAAATTTTTATAGAGAAGGGGTCTCACTGTATTGCCCAGGCTGGTCTTGAAATCTTGGTCTCAAGCAGTCCTCTGGCCTCAGCCTCCCAAAGTGCTGGGATTGCAGGCATGAGCCACAGGACAGTCTTCCTATTTAAAGCCCACACCTTTCTGCCTTTGAGCTGAGAGCACAGGGATGATCTTTTTCTACCATGCGGGGCTGAACTCCCGTTAGCGCCAGAGCTCCTGTGCCTCTTGTTTCACGTCTGCTCAAAACCCATTCTAGGGAAGCTTGTTTATGCTGGCTGGTGAAATTATGAGCCCCGACGTTCTGCTCTGTCAGGATGTCATCAGGCACATAACTCACCCTGCTTGTCCTTTATTTTGGTCATTGGCAGCTTTTAAGTTTCCTGCAGGTGTCAGAGAAGTCCTTGAAGGAGTCCTTCCTGCGGTTCACTGTATGAGTTTTTCCACTTTGAATCACTTCAAGGGTCAGAACAAAATGAAAGGAGACCTGAACTAAATAATTATATGCTGTCAGGAGAGTGAAAATGTTTTGCTTCTTTATTGGTCTCAAGGTGTCTTAGCCAACAGGGGCCCTCAGGGCGAATTCTGATAGCTTGTTTCTTAGAACATCAGGGAATTTTGAACATTCCTCTTGTAGCTTAATGCTTCTTGACAGAGCCTTCGCAAGGACCTTGTCTTTTATGTAACAGTCACCTCTATTCATTGAGTAAAGGAAGAACATTTGCATTTTTTTTCCTGCCAATGTCTTCTGGTAACATACTTTACAAAACTGCTGTATAATACTGGGATTTGGGTTTTAGCAGGATCTTGGAGCCTTATGGGGTATGTGGTATGTGATGATTTTCTCTCCTCTGTGTGTGTGTGTGTGTGTGTGTTTTGTCAGAATCAAAAATAAAAAGTCTGCTGCTGTCTGACAGAGGGAGTCAGTTGTCTAAAGATGCAGAGAGCTTTTCTCCAGTGCTAGCAGTGGAAAAGACAGTTCTATCCTGTGTTCATAGCTGCTTGAAAGTCTTCAACCTCATCTGTAGCCCTAAACATGACTGTGCAAACTATGGTAGAAGTAACTTCTGCATTTTAGCAGGACAGTCTGTCCATCAGGCAGCCCCAGGATATGGCATGACCGGAAGCAGCTGTGGTGGGGAGTCCTGGGTGGGAAGAAGGCAGCTGGCTGGCTGGCTGTGACTTGCTCCTCCTCATCCTGGGCTGGGCTTTTCCTCTTGGCACTCAGTGTGGGGAGAAGCAGCTTTGGATGTGAGACCTCTGAGCTCCTGGTCAGAGCTGCCGGCCGTTTCCTTGAGACGGTGGTGTCTGCTTCCTTGACTGCCAGGGCTGCGATGTTGGGAGGTGCAGCCCTTGGGTGCCTGGGTGTGAGCCCAGCTTCATTTACTCAGGGTGTTGGCACCAAGTTCAGGAGAGAGCAGGTGGAGAGGCGATAGACTCAGAAACTGTCACACCTAGTCACTCTCTAGAACAGTCGTTTTTATTTCCGTCACGCAATGTAATGGTGGATTGCAAAAATAGACTTAGTGTTCAGAGTCCACGGTTGACAGAGCTGAGAATATTCCCAGAACTCTATTCTAACTTCTTCAGTTTAGAGATGAGGAAACCAAGACCTCAGTGGGGATTGTTTGTGCCAGAGTCATCAGCTGTTTAGCAGCAGGAAGGGGCTGACCTGGATCTCATTCCCAGGACTGTGCTGTTTTAAAGGTTTTGAAGCTCACACATTGGTGTTAAGCCGCACTGGGGCTATTTTAGGCTGGCTAAGGAGAGAATGGAATGTAACATTATCATGTTGTCACCATTCTCGAGAGAGTACTGGTAGTGGTGAAAGTAACAAATTAGTATTAGCTAAGCTACCTTTTTCTCCAGCGTGAGGAAATGGAATAATACAGATCTTCTTGTGCTTCTGTTTTGTTTTTTAAATTTTTAAATTTTTTATTTTTTATTATTGTTTGTTTCGTTGGTTTTTTTTTTTCCTGTTGTCCCCCCCCCGCCCCCGCCCCACCACTGGAAAACAGTTCTTGTGCTTTTTAAGACAGTTTTTAAAAATTTATTTATTTATTTATTTTAAAGACAGGGTTTCACCATGTTGGCCAGGCTGGTCGTGAACTCTTGACCTCAGGTGATCTTACTGTCTCAGCCTCCCAAACTGCTAGGATTATAGGTGTGAGCCACCATGTCCAGCCAGTTTGTTGTTTCTTTCCTTTCTTTTTTTTCTTTTCTTTCTTAAGATAGAGTCTCACTCTGCCACCCAGGCTGGAGTGCAATGGTGCAATCTCGGCTCACTGCAACCTCTGCCTCTTGGGTTCAAGTGATTCTCCTGCCTCAGCCTCCTGAGTAGCTGGGATTACAGGTGTGTGCCACCACACCAGCTAATTTTTTTGTATCTTTAGTAGAGATGGGGTTTCACCATGTTGGTCAGGCTGGTCTTGAACTCCTGACCTCATGATTTGCCCGCCTCAGCCTCCGAAAGTGCTGGGATTACAGGTGTGGGCCACCGTGCCTGGCCAAGCCTTGTGAATTGTTGAAAAAACAAACAGGTGCTTGCCGGGAGCGGTGGCTCACGCCTGTAACCCCAGCACTTTGGGAGGCCAAGGCAGGTGGATCACTTGAGGTCATGAGTTCGAGAATGGTCTGGGCAACATGGCAAAACTGCGTCTCTACAAAAAATAAAAAAAATTAGCTGGTGTGGTGGCACACAGCTGTAGACTCAGCTCCTTAGGAGGCTGAGACAGAAGGATTGCCTGAGCCTGGGAGGCAGAGGTTGCGGTGAACTGGGAGAGTACCACTGCACTCCAGCCTGGATAATAGAGCGAAACTCTGTCTCAAGAAACAAACAAAGTAAAATAAAGATTCACAAGGCTTGTTAGTTTGTTAAAGGCTCTGATAAATCCTACAGAAAGACATTGGCTTAGCTTTATTTGACCTAGCATTTCTCATAGTTACTCGACCATGAAATCTGTTTTCTGCTCACTCATTATATCCTTTGAAACTCCCAGTGCACCATTAAGTTGACTTCCTCATCCAAGTTTCATTCATTCATTCATTCATTTATGTTTTGAGATGGAGTTTCGCTCTTGTTGCCCAGGCTGGAGTGCAGTGACATGATCTCGGCTCACCACAACTGCCGCCTCCCAGGTTCAAGCAATTCTCCTGCCTCAGTCTCCTGAGTAGCTGGGATTACAGGCATGCGCCACCACGCCCAGCTAATTTTGTATTTTTTTTAGTAGAGATGGGGATTTTCCCATATTCCTC